CTCTGGTGTTCATATTGTGTGTGTGTGTATGTGTGTGGTCTGCGGGTTGTATGTCTCCGAGGGTGTGTATCTGTGCGTCCACGTCAGGTTCCGGGCCAGGGCTGGGACTCAGCGCCTTGTGGGTCCAGGCCGCTGTGTGGTTTGGGGGAGGGGAGTTTGCCTCTCCCTCGGTGCAGGTCAACTGGTGTGGGAGGGAGGGAATGGGGGGGTCCTCAGCGGTCCTTGGGGGAGACGGCCATATCTTCCCCTTCCCGGTGGCTGGTGGTGGTGGTGGCGGGGGATGGGCGATTGGTAGGTGGACAGATGGAGGGATGAGAGGCCGAGGGATGGACAGATGGGCCCGAGGGGAGGCATGCAGACCTGGCCCTTCCCCACCCACCCCACCCCAATCCCCACACCCGCCAGATCTCCCCGGATGGGGCCAGAGTTGCCTGCATCCAGATGGCCAGGCTAGGGGACCTTTGGGCTGCTGGTGGGAGGATCGCCTTGGACTAGTGCTTTAGGATTCAGCTCCCCAACCCTCTGAGATTCGACTTGCTGAACTCTGACCTCTGGCCCTGGCTTTTGCTGTGGTGGTGGGGGCAGGTATGGTGGGAAGGAGGGATGTTAGGATTTCTTTGGCCTGCAAAGTAGGTGGGCAAGAGTGCCTCAGGACTGGGAGAGATGTGTCCATGTATGTGTGTGAGTGTGAATCTGTGCCTATCTGTTGACTGTGTCACTGTGGTTCAATATTTTGTGTGCATTTGTAAGTGTAAATCCCTTACAGGGCTGTGTGTGAACATTTCTGTTATGAGTTAACATCTCAGTGTCTGTTGTGCAAAAGGTAGATCTTTTTGTACCTTGTGCTTGTTTGAGTGTGTATCAGCCTTGTAAGTGTCTGCATACTTGTGGTTCTGTGTATGTGTGTGAGGTGTATATCAGTTAGTGTGTACATTTGTGCGTCTTTTGGTGTAGGAATATATCAGCTTTGTGACTGCATCATGGGGATATGTGAAGTTGTCTGAGCATGTTTGGGCATTTAAGAGTGTGTCTGTGTATCTTTGATCATGCAAGTGAATATCTGTTATATGTGTATGCCCGTGTGTTGGTGCAAGAGTATATCTGTTATAGGTGCATGTACCTGGTTGTCTGCAAAGATAGATACGTGTGTGCGTGCGCGCATCTGTGTGCACATCGGTGTGTGTGCATTTGTGTATGTGAATGTGCAAGAGTCAATGTTATACATGTGTGGTTGTATGTGGGTGTGACAATCTTGAGGGTATGTGTCTGTCTATATTGTGAGTTCATTTATGCATCGGTGTTGGTCTCTCAAGAGTGAGGTTGTGTGTGTTCAAACATTATGTGCAGGATTATATGCACACACATGCCTGTGTCCCTGGCACAAGGCTGACCCTGCTTCTGGACCCAGTGAGATTGGGGTTCACGTGGCGTGATCTGTGGTATGCTGGGGTCCAGCCTGGGGCTCATGGACACAAATGTGTCCACATCGCAGGCCAAGAGCCAGTGGAGGGTGTGGGCACAGAGATCATGCTGGTGTGTCTATGGAAATACAAGTGTAGAGACTTGAGTTGTGGGCCCATGTGAGTTTGGTGTGTCTGCACATGTTGGTGTGACAATGATTTGATGGTGAGCATGGGAACCTTTTGATTCCTCCCCAGCTCCTGGTACTACTTAGGTCCTTGAAGTTGGGGGACTGGGATGTGAACTCTGGAAGGAGGAAGCTGGAATCCTGGATCTGAAGGAGGAGAATGGGCCCAATTTTTGGGTCTTGAGAATGGAAGGGGCTGAAACCTGGGCTCCTGAGTCTGAGGGAGGAGAAGGGTGGAGTTCCAGATTCTAGGTCTAGGGAGAAGGGAGCTGGTGTCACTGGCTTCTTGAGACCCCAGAAGACAAAGGCTAAAGTCCTGGACTCCTGAATTTTGGAGAGTAAACAATTCTGAGGCCAAGACTCCTTGATTTCTAGAGATTACTCTCTGGGTCCATCTGCATTTATGCAGAGCCTGCAGCAGGAGGGCTGAGAGTGTGATCACACCGGGGACTTCCTTGGCTGAGATGGTCTCTGATGCAGGTCTCCAGTGAGGAACCAGAAAGATGCTAACAGGGTCATTTTGTTTCTTTGTAGGTACTGGCCCAGGCCCTGACTCCCTGAAGAGAGGTGAGTGGGGTCCCTCCTGCTGGGGAAACGTGGAGTGGTTGGTCTTGTTCTGAGCCGCTCTGGAGGCCTGGAGCCCTGCCTCATAAGGATTTCAGTGCAGGGTCTGGCAGTGTCCTGAGGGGCCAGGTGCCACCTGGGCTAGGGGTGGGGTGGTGACAAGGTCAGGAGCATCATGTTTGGGTAAGGGCTCATAGAACCAGGGCATGGATAGCAGATGGAGGGGTTTCCTCATGATAGCAGTAAAGGGTACAAGAGAGTTCATGACATGAACTGACCCCTGCATTTGGAGAATGACATGAATGTGGTTGATCATTTTGTGTGTGTATGTGGGAAGATCTCCTGGTAGTCCAGCCTGCTGGTGGCTGAAAGAGCCAGAGGGAAATCACAACAACACTAGCAGTAGACATTTATGTAGTGTTTACTCTGTCAGGAGCGATTCTAATCATGTTACACTGCATTATCTCGTATAACCCTTACAATAACCTGATGAGGTAGGTACTCTTATTATCCCCATTGTACAGAGGAGCACACTAGGGCACAAAGAAGGTAAGTCACTTGACTAGAGTCACACAGCAGGGAACTGGGGTGTGAACCTGGGCAGCTGGGTCCAGTTTCTGTCCTGCAATGCTGCACTGCTTCTCAATAAATGTTAGCTATTTTCATTGCTATTGTAGTTCCTTCAACTTGAGTCTCACCCCAGAGGTGGGAGGCGAAGCTCTGTACTTCTCTCTAGGGCTCAGATTTGGGTTCTGAGCCCTAGAGACCCACAGCCAGACAGGTGTAGAGCGGGGCCTCCTAGCTCAGGAGTTCCACCTTCCAGGCCAGGGTTTTCTGTCCAATACAGTGTCCCAGAGGGAGTGCAAGACAAGGTAGTTGGGGGCCTTGGAAATGGTGGGACCCCCTGACTGGGCCTCTTTTTCTCTCTTTAGCCCAGTTACTGTCTCCTTCAGTCTCTGCCTCACTCTTTGTCTCTCTGTACAATCCGATTCTCTCCTCCTTTCTCTCCCTCTCTCACTTCCTCTCTCCATCTTTATGTCTTAGGCTCTATTTTTTCTTTCCTCTACTCAGTTTTTCTGTCCCTCAATCCCTGTCTCTTCACCTTTCTTTCAGATCTCTCTCTCTCTCTCTCTCTCTCTCTCAATCTATCTCTTCCTCCCCCTTGTCTCTCACTGTCTCTGTCTCTTCACCTCTCTCTGGGTCTCTTGGTCCCTCCTGTCCACATCTGTAGTCCCTCTCCCCATGGGCTGAAGGATCAGGGCCACATCAGGTCACCGCCCCAAACTGCAGATTCCTGGGAGGTAGGCCAGTAGGGACTGGGGTACAGGATGGAGTGAAAACAGTTTCAGGGATGCCCCCTTTGCATTCTTTTCTCTTCACCCCCACCAACCCCATGTTGTGATGGGAGCTGACATGTCGTGGGCTGCAGCTGCCACAGGGGAATCCCTGCTGGAAGGTTTTGCCTGGAGCAGAGGAATAGCATGAGTGTGTGAGTGAATGTCTGTGTGGCTGTGTAGGCATGTATGGGGTCTTGTATGTGTCCACAGATGTGAGCACAGAAGTCTGCCCCCTGCTTGGGAGCTCAGAAGAACCCAGGATGAAACCAAGGTTCGAGAAGGACTTCCCAAGGCTGAGCAGTGAGACTGATGTAGTTTTCTCAGCCTCTTCCACCTTCAGACTCCCTTTACCTCTGATAAAGGATGGGGGGTGGGGGGTATTATCCATAACATTTAATGAATACTTACTGTGTGCCGGGCCTGTGCTCAGGGACCCCCTAGAATGAGTTTACTGAACCCTTGCAACAACCCATTGAAGATGGTACAGTTATCATCCCATTTTATAAAACAGGCAAGTATGGCCTAGTTAGGGGAAATCATTGGTTTGGGGTCACAGAGCTAGCAAGTGGGTAGAACCAAGACTTGAACCTGAATCTGTCTGATTTCAAAGCATATATATATGCTATATATATATATATATATAGCTCTTGATTTCAGAAAAAAGGGAGAGGAAGAGAGAGATAGAAATATCAATGATGAGAGAGAATCATTGATCAGCTGCCTCTTGCATGCCCCCTACTGGGGATCAAGCCTTTGACCCAACATGTGCCCTTGACTGGAATTGAACCTGGGACCCTTTAGTCGGCAGGCTGGCATTCAATCCACTGAGCTAAACTGGCTAGGGCCAAAGCACTTTCTTTTAATAATAGTGCATACTTCTATACCTGGCCCATAATGGACACTCAATGATGATAATAACACTTAACATGTATTGAACACATTTTATGTGCCAGGCATTGTTCATAAGTAGTACACCATTCTCATTAATCCATTTAACCCTCACAGAGGTAAGGCCTGTTTTTTTGTTTTGTTTTGTTTTGTTTTGTTTTTTATCTCCTTTTTACAGATGAAGAAACCGAAATTCAGAGAGGTTCAGACACTTGCCCGAGGTCACACAGCTAGTAAGTGTCAGCTGGAATTTGAACCCAGGGAATATGGCTTTGAAATCCATGAATTTAAACCCTAGTTAGCAGTGATTTTTCAAAATGTTCAGTGGGTGCTAAAAGGCCTAGTCAGGGCAGGTGTCACCCTTCTGGTTAGGAGATTATGAGAGGTCTGGGAACCCCTAGGGGAGGGGCAGAGGTGGGGACAGGGCATTCAGGGGTGGGACAATGGTAATTTATCAAGCAGCATTAATATATTACCTATTAACAAATGCATGCCAAGTGAGGATCAGTGCTGTTACTGTCCTACAGAACCTGGTTGTCAGGAAGGGAAGGATCTGGGTCAGACTCCTAGCAGAACATCCCAGGGTAGCCAGGCTGGCAAGCAAGCTCTATGCCTGGGTAACCTGTCTCCTTCTCCTTCAGGTCTTATTGTCCACTCCTCCCAACTTCCCACTGCACCATGGCTCCCGGCCCCTTCTCCTCTATGCTGCTCTTGCCACCACCTGCAGCCCTGTCTTTTCTGCTGCTACTCTGGACAGGGGCATCTCGTGGCCAGCCCTGTCCTGGCCGCTGCATCTGCCAGAATGTGGCGCCCACGCTGACCATGCTGTGCGCCAAGACTGGCTTGCTCTTTGTGCCGCCAGCCATTGACCGGCGTGTGGTGGAACTGAGGCTCACAGACAACTTCATTGCGGCCATCCGCCGCCGAGACTTCGCCAACATGACCAGCCTGGTGCACCTCACCCTCTCCCGTAATACCATCGGCCAAGTGGCAGCTGGCGCCTTTGCTGACCTCCGTGCCCTCCGGGCTCTGCACCTTGACAGCAACCGCCTGGCCGAGGTGCGTGGCGACCAGCTCCGCGGCTTGGGCAACCTCCGTCACCTGATCCTCGGCAACAACCAGATCCGCCGGGTGGAGTCGGCGGCCTTCGATGCCTTCCTGTCCACTGTGGAGGACCTGGATCTGTCCTACAACAACCTCGAGGCCCTGCCCTGGGAGGCCGTAGGCCAGATGGTGAACCTGAACACCCTCACACTGGACCACAATCTCATCGACCACATCGCTGAAGGTACCTTCGTGCAGCTTCACAAACTGGTTCGCCTGGACATGACCTCCAACCGCCTCCATAAACTGCCCCCTGATGGGCTCTTCCTGAGGTCCCAAGGCCCGGGGCCCAAGCCGCCCACGCCACTCACGGTTAGCTTTGGTGGCAACCCCCTGCATTGCAACTGCGAGCTGCTCTGGCTGCGACGGCTGACCAGGGAGGATGACTTGGAAACGTGTGCCACCCCTGAGCACCTCACTGACCGCTACTTTTGGTCCATCCCTGAGGAGGAGTTCCTGTGTGAACCCCCGCTGATCACACGGCAGGCGGGGGGCCGGGCCCTCGTGGTGGAGGGCCAGGCAGTCAGCCTGCGGTGCCGTGCTGTGGGTGACCCTGAGCCGGTGGTGCATTGGGTGGCACCCGATGGGCGGTTGCTGGGGAACTCTAGCCGGACCCGGGTCCGGGGGGATGGGACGCTGGATGTAACTATCACCACCTTGCGGGACAGTGGTACCTTCACTTGCATCGCCTCCAATGCCGCTGGAGAAGCCACGGCGCCCGTGGAGGTGTGCGTGGTGCCTCTCCCTCTGATGGCGCCCCCGCCGGCTGCCCCGCCGCCCCTCACTGAGCCTGGCTCCTCTGACATTGCCACGCCTAGCCGACCTGGTGCCAATGAATCTGCTGCTGAACGCCGGCTGGTGGCGGCGGAGCTCACCTCCAACTCTGTGCTCATCCGCTGGCCAGCGCAGAGGCCGGTGCCTGGCATCCGCATGTACCAAGTCCAGTACAACAGCTCCGCTGATGACTCCCTTGTCTACAGGTGGGTACTTCAGCCCCAGAGCCTCCTCCCACTTCAAGGGTCCCTTCTCCCTTCTGTCCACTTCCTTGGCCTTCTTGCTCAGCTGGAGTTCTAGATGGCCATACAGAGTTGCTCTATCTTCTTCTGTCTCACTTTCTGTCTCACTGTCTCTGTTTTTCATGCATTTTGCAAATCTTTGTTGAGCACCCACATGAGTCAGGCTGGGCACTGGAGTTATAACAGTGAATGTACCCCGCATATCCCTACTCCCATGGAGCTTATGGTCCATCTTCCTGCTCAGCAAAGGTGTTGGATTGTGTACCTTGTCAGTTAAACATTTTGGAGCATGAAACACACACACATACATACACACACACATTTAACAATGACATTTATATTTATAAATTATATGCCAGTGGTTCTGTATCAACACTTTGGGGACATTATAGAACAGAAAACCAAAATATATAAATTTAAGTTATTTTCATTGTCCACTGGGTTAGAAGCTGTTGCCCTGGTATGGACAGACATTAAAGAGTTACTTTCTCCTGTCATCTCTCTTATTTTCTTAATTTCACATCTACCTCTGTCTGTCCCTTCTTTCCCTCCTGTCCTTGTTGGGCACTGAGGCCCTGCTCTATGCTAGGCCTGAGAGCGCTGGGGACACTGGGAGACCAAAAGACCAGTTCCCACCCTCAGGGACCTTATGGTCCAGAGGAAGGAGGCAGCTAGTATTCGCTGAATTATTGCCTTGGCCTTGCAGTGTCCTTCATCTTGGTAGCTTTTTAAGTATGACTCACAGCCATAGCACACAGTGGGCACTTGATAAGTGGCTGTGGGCTTTGTGAATGGCTCTCCTTTCTGGCTCTGTCTCCTTCATGTGCACTGTAGAGCACCTGCTGTATGCTTAATCCTGTGTTTGACTTCACTTGGTAATGCCAGAGGTTTTAAAGCCATTTTTGGGAGCCCCATCTTTTGGTGTGCTCAGACCTACACCATAAAGTCTGCCTCTTGGCCTCCATCTTCACCTTTCCCAGGGTTCTCTTGGCCACAGTCTTGGTACACAGTAGGTGCTTTTCCACTGTTGGCTGAATGAGTAAATGCCTTTGAAAACTTTGTCTCTGTCATCCTCATTTTCTTTTCTTTTAGAATCTGGTTATCAAACACTGAATAGATGCCTATTGCATGTCAGATTCCATGCTGGGCCCTGGGGCCACCGAGATAGATCAGACACTGGCCCAGTTTTACAAACATGAGGGCAAACAAATGAACAGAACAAAACCCTTTATAAGGTACTACCAAAGATGCTACTTCATTTGATCTTTCCAACTCTGATGTGAAGCAGTGATGATACCCTTCCCATTTTATAGATAGGGAAACTGAGGCCCATGGAGGGAAGTCACTTGCTCAAGGTTACACAGAAAGTGGCAGAACCAGGATTCCAGCTCTTACCCTTCTAACTCCTAACCCTGACCTTTTTATGTTGAACACACATTTATTGAGTACCCACTGTTTGCCAAGCAGGGATTAGTGGAGCTGGATAATACATTTCCATAAATAACTTTTGGGTTGTGACTCTTTACTTCTTTCTTTCTTTCTTTCTTTCTTTCTTTCTTTCTTTCTTTCTTTCTTTCTTTCTTTCTTTCTCTCTCTATCTCTCTAACCTGTGGTCACTACTTAGTGCAGGGAGGTTTTCAGGCCCCAGACCCAGCATGTATTCAGATGTTGATTCCCTTCTGTCCCTAGCTAGGCAACAGATCTGGGGGCTCTTCCCTTCCCCTGAGGGCTACAGTTCCAGTCCTCCCTCTCCCACTGCAGATGCCTGCACTATGGTGCTGTAGGGGTTAATTTCCTCACTTCTGCCATGGGTGGAGGTGACATCCAATCAGAAGCCTGCTTTGCTGCTTGCTTGGGTCTTTCAGCCTATCAGAAACATGTGGGCTCAAGCTTTCTTAAGGAGCCAGCCTCTGCCCTTGAAAGGGGGGAGCCCCTAGCAACTGTTTTTTTTTTTAGGGAAAGGAACAAGAGGAATCCTAGTCTCTCTGAGAGGGGAGATTAAAAGAAAAGGAAGACTTACAGCCTGGGGCTCAAAGTTGGGAGGTATGAGGTGGAGGGGGAGGAGTGGTCTGTTAAATGGCAGGCAAGGGGAGAGTTGGAGAAGTGGGTGGGTCTTTTAGAGGGAATAGGGCCCTCACTTGAAGCCTTTTGGTTGGAGGGTGGCTTTTGGTGGTGGGGAACCTTCAGGAAGTGGGACAACTGCCGTAAGCTTCAGGACCAGAAGGTGGCCTGACTGGAGGGAAGGTGAAGCATCTGAGAGGTAAGATGGGGGCATGACCTCTTAGAGGAGGCGGAGCTCCTGTTTCATGGTCCCCTGCAGATGAAGATGTGGTCCTTGTCTCTGGTGACCCACTAAGACCTTTGTAGGAGAGGAGAGCTTGTGAGGTTGAGTGATGAGCATGCGAATCTATGTGGAGGTGGCAGTCCCGGGTTAGCCAAAGCTGGACTTGGCCGACTGTGGAAGGGTGTGCCCAACAGAAGGAGCAAGGCCTAGTGGGAATGGTCTTATAGATGAGGGAGGGTGCAACTGGCAGTAGAGTGTGAACCACAGCAAGGGTACTGGCCAACATAGAGTGGAATGAAAGCTAATAATGATGACATTATTAAGTGCCAGGCTTTGGGTATGTTAACTAATTCATACTCACATCATCTCTATGATGTACTAATTCTTTATATCCCCAATTGGGAGAAGTGAGGCTCAGAGTGGTTAAGAAACTTGTATAAAGCCCTAGCTGGTTTGACTCAGTGGATAGAGCACTTGCCTGCAGACTGAAAGGTCCCAGGTTCAGTTCCAGTCAAGGGCACCTGCCTGGGTTGCAGGCTCAATCCCCAGTAAGGGGCGTTCAGGAGGTAGCCAAGCAATGATTCTCTCTCATCGTTGATGTTTCTATCTCTCCCTCTCCCTTCCTCTCTGAAATAAAAAAAGAAAGAAAGAAAAGTTTGTAAGGCCCTAGCCAGTTTGGCTCAGTGGATAGAGCATCAGCCTGTGAACCGAAGGGTCCCAGGTTCAATTCCAGTCAAGGGCACATACCTCAGTTGCAGGCTCCACTTGGGCCCCAGCCCTGGTCAGGGCGCAAGCAGGAGGCAACCAATCTATGTTTCTCTCTCACATAGATGTTTCTTTCTATCTTTCCCTCTCTCTTCTAACTCTCTAAAAATCAATGGGAAAAATATCCTCAGGTGAGGATTTAAAAAAAGAAAGAAAGAAAGAAACTTGTATAAGATCACAGCTAGCAAGTGGCAGGAGAGAGACTCAAACCCAGGCAGTCTGGCTCCCAGAATTGTCAGTTTAACCACTTCTCTGCACTGCTTCTCCTTTGAAGGCAGGGGCCTAGAGCAAGAAGGGGGCATGTTTGCTTGGCTACATTTGACCCAATTACTTATTTGGGGTGTGAGTTGGTGACTTGTGGCAGTATAGGGTAGGGTGCACAAGAGAGGTTTCAGGACATGCAAAGAGTGGACCACGGCCCTAGGCACAGTAGGGGAATCCTCCCCAGTGGCTATTGTGGGGTGTGGTGCAGGAATATGTAGTTGAGGGGCTTGGGAATTGTCTCAGAAGATATATGCAGCTAGGAGATGAATTTGCCCAAAGATGGGACGTGCAGATAAAGGGAGTGGCCTGTACACACATGGTTTCCCTGAAAGGGCAGGGATATAAGAGGAACTAGAGGGCCCTGGCTGGTTTGGCTCAGAGGATAGAGTGTTGGCCTGCTGACTGAAAGGTTCCAGGTTTGATTCTGGTCAAGGGCACATGCCCAGGTCGCAGGCTTGATCCCCAGTGGGGGATATGCAGGAGGTAGCCAATCAAAGATTCTCTCTGATCATTGATGTTTCTATCTCTCTCTCCCTCTCTGAAATCAATTATATATATATTTAAAGAAGAACTAGAGGCTCAGTTGGTTGGATAGTCAAGGTTGCAGGTTCAATCCCCAGTCAGGGCACACACAATAATCAAGCAAGGAATTCAGAAATAAGTGAAACAACAAAAATCAATGCTTTTCTTTCTCTCCCACCCCTCCTCCTCTCTCCCTTCCTTTCTAAAGTCATAAAGACAGGGGGTGTGAGTTGACCACTTGTGAGGGTGGGGCATGCTGGTAGGGGGTGGGGCTTGTAGTAATGGGGCGCCTCAAAGGATGAAAATATGTACATAAGAGACCTTGAATGGCAGTTGTTGCTACCCTAATATGGCGAGACACTGCTAGGGGGCGTTTCCCTTTAGGGTAGAGCATAAAAGCTATAGCACTCCTCTCATTCAAGAACTGGGATATGTAGATGAGGGAATATGATTGACAGATAGTGTTCTAACTAGGCAATAAGACAGACGGGGTTGGTCTGAGGGCAGGGCATGCAGATGAAAGGCGTGGCCTGTAGCATGGATCCTGAGACGTTAGAAATTTGTTGCTTGAATGGCTGCTGTTGTCCTGGTAAAGGGTGAGATACTGGTAGGAACGCAGGGTTTGGTTCCCACTGGTCACCATGGGTGGGACATACAAGTGAAATGGCTTGGTTCAGAGTAGAGCTAACTCCGCGCTGATCCTGCCCCTTCCCGCAGGATGATCCCCTCCACCAGCCAGACCTTCCTGGTGAATGATCTGGCGGCGGGCCGCGCCTATGATCTGTGCGTGCTGGCGGTCTACGACGATGGTGCCACAGCGCTGCCAGCCACGCGAGTGGTGGGCTGCGTGCAGTTTACCACGGCTGGGGATCCCGCGCCCTGCCGCCCGCTGAGGGCCCACTTCTTGGGCGGCACCATGATCATTGCCATCGGGGGCGTCATCGTTGCCTCGGTCCTCGTCTTCATCGTTCTGCTCATGATCCGCTACAAGGTCTATGGCGACGGAGATGGCCGTCGTGTCAAGGGCGCCTCTAGGTCACCCCCGCGGGTCAGCCACGTGTGCTCGCAAACCAATGGTGCAGGGGCGCCGCAGGCCCCACCGCCAGCGCCAGAATGCTACGTGGCATTACGCGAGGAGGCGTCCCCGGCTGCGGCAGCCCTGGCAGTGGAAGCAAAGACCACGGTGGTAGAGACGGCAGCTTCCGCAGACCCAGAGGCCGTCTTTGGACGCTCCCTGGGTGGCTCGGCCACCTCGCTGTGTCTCCTGCCATCGGAGGAAACCTCTGGGGAGGAGCCTCGAGCCGCTGTGGGTCCTCGGAGGAGCCGTTCTGGGGCCTTGAGGCCGCCGGCTTCAGCGCCCTCCACTCTAGCTCTGGTTCCTGGGGGGGCACCCGCTCGGCCTCGGCCACAGCAGCGTTACTCGTTTGACGGGGACTATGGGGTGCTCTTCCAGAGCCACAGTTACCCGCGCCGCGCCCGGCGGACAAAGCGCCACCGGTCCACCCCGCACCTGGACGTGGCTGGAGGGGGCGTGGCCGGGGAGGACGGAGAGCTGGGGCTGGGCTCCGTCCGGGCGCGCCTGGCCTTCACCAGCACCGAGTGGATGCTGGAGAGTACCGTGTGAGCGGCTGCGGCGGGCGCCGGGACTCCTGGTGCCACGGACAGGACCGAGTCCGAGCTGCCCAGACCCTGGGGCAGGACTGGAGGGAAAAAGCACAGCGCCAAGACCTCTGACTGGAGGGGAGGTGGGCCCTTCTCCCCGAGGGGGCGCTGCGGCCTGCAGCTAAGGCTCGAGGCAATGCACCGTGTCCTGGGGAGATGGGGAGCGGCCGCTGGGCTCCTCCCGTGAGAACTCCTTGCCCCCACTTGTCCCTCCCCCAGCGCGCTCGCGGACCTCGCTGGAGCTGGTGCCTTACACAGCGAAGCGCGGGGAGGGGCAGGGCCCCCCCACACTGCAGCACTGAGACACGAGCCCCCTCCCCCTGCCCGGGACCAGGGGCAGGGACGAGGGGCCCATTTCTTGTATCTGGCTGGACTAGATCCTATTCTGTCCCGCGGCGGCCTCCAAAGCCCCACCCCGAGCCCATTCACCTCTCTGATCCCGTAGGGTCTGGCTTGGGGTCCCCTTTTCTCTGTCCCCCTCTTTTGTGTCTATCCTGCTCTCTGTCTTCTCTGTCTTATGTCTCTGCCCTTTTCTATTTGTCTCTTTTTTCTCTGTCCCGTCGTCTCTTCTCCTGCCCTCCCATGTTTTGTCCAGTCTCTTTGTCTCTCCGGGATTACCTCCCCCCACCACACATTCTCCCGGGCAGGTCCCACTGGAAGGACCAGACTCCCTATTCCTTCCTCTTTCCTCAAGTAAATCCCCACATGAATAAAGTCCAAAACAAAGTCCTCCTCCCCACCGGAGCCAGGACCCCCGCCGCAGCAGAATTAAACTTTTTTCTGTGTCCGAGGGCGCTCTACTGACCTCTGTGTGTGCCCCTGTGTCGTGTGTGTGTGTGTGTGTGTGTGTGTGTGTGTGTGTGCGCGCGTGTGTGTGTCCTAGATTACAGCATAAGGGTTAAGTGAGACTGAAGGAAAGATGGCTAACTGGGACCAGGGAGACTTGCAGACAATTTCCTATCCTCTGAGAGATTTAAAGGTGGGAAATAATAATAAAATGATAATAGCTAACATTTAGTGAGTGCTGTGTGCCAAGCACTTAAGTAATTTAATCCTCACAACAACCCTAGAACATATTACAGGTATCCCATTTTGCAGATGAGGAAATTGATGCTCAGAAACATCTCAAAATCACATAACCAGAAGGTGGCAAAATTGGGATTTGAAAAGGCAGGCAGCCCGACTTCTGAACCTGTCCTCTTAACCACAGAATTCTGCTGAGCGGTTAGTGAATGCTCATTCCACATACAGGCATTGTGCTAAGCACAGCTCCTCTTTCTGAGGTTGGGCAACTGTCCAAGGTAGGTATCTTTGGTTCCATTTTATAAACAGGAATCTGAACCAGGAAGAATTGAAGTCACTTGCCCAAAGATCCCCAGTGAGAAAATAATGGAACTGGCAGTTTGATCTCAGTGTCTTATCTGTTCTTACCACTACACTGTGTTGCATCTAGAGGCTAGGGAATGACCCCAATGACCTTAGCTGAGCGCAGGTATACCAAGCCAGCCTCGTGAGGGAGGAAGGAGGGAAAGAGCTCATTGGTTACTGCCTGGAATATGAGGGATTGGGAGTGGAGAAGGGGTCTGCTTGGAGCACAGAAGATGGTATGGGGAGGGGAGTTTCAGTTAAGGCAGAGGATTGTGGCTGGGGAAGGAAAGTCGGTTGAGGGCTACCCCAGTCTTGGGGGGTGCTGCAGTGAATACTTCCTGATCCTGGAGAAGGAAGAGACTTCATGCTAGCCAGGGGCCCCCTGAGGCCTGGGGAGGAGGAGAGAAAGACAGAAATAGAAACAGCAGGAGGAAGGGGGAAGATCTGGGCAGACAGGGTGGGAGGCATCAAGGACAAAGGCGCCAGAGAATCACAGGCCAGGAGGCTCCCTCACCCAGTGACTTAGCCACACTTATCTATCTTGGTCATCATGACTCCTGGGTACTGAGGGCTTCCCACATACTAGGCACTGTGCTCACAAACCCTCCCTGGTGCATGGGCAAGGTGAGGGGGAAGGGAAGGGACATCTGTAATATGTGGGTCCTCTCAACAATAAAGATTGAAAGAAGAGCATGCAACCCAGCACCAGGCATATAACATTCACAAAAGGAAGTTACGTTCATAGTAAGCATGATCACATTTATACTCTGCAGCTGATGTGTAGTGTGTGCATCTATGTTTCTAGAAGAAGAAATAATTTAGAGGTTAAGGAGCTTGCCCAAGATCATAACAGCCAGTAAACAGCAGAGTTGTGATTAGAAAGTTTACTGCCTTCAAATTCTGCATACCTAATCATCTGACTATATTGTCTGAGTCACCCGATAAAACTTTATTGAGCATGTGCTATGTACGTGGCTCTGCGTAGGAGATACAGCAGTGAACAAAATAGACAAAATAAGAAAGCCCTGTGGTCTAGTCAGTGTGGGTCAGTGGTTGAGTGTTGACCTAGGAACCAGGAGGTTAAGGTTCAATTCCTGGTTGGGGCACATGCCGGGGCTGTGAGCTCGATCTCCAGTAGGGGGCTTGCAGGGGTAACTGATCAATGGTTCTCTCTCACTGATGTTCTATCCTTCTCTCCCTCTCCCTGAAATCAATAAAAACATTATATATATAAAATAAAGAAACCCCTGTCCCTTGGGGGGAGGCAGTAAACAAGCAAGTAAATATGTAATGCGTGTCTGGGGGTAAATAAATGTCTTAAAATGAATGAAAACAGGGTGTTGGGACAGGGGAATGACTGGAAGGTGTACTTTAGATGGGGGAGGAGGGAGTATCAAGAAAGGTGATATTGGAGCTGAAGAAATCCATTCTGAAGAGATCCATTGTGGGAAGAGCATTCCTGGCAATGAAAATAGCATGTGCAAAGGCCCCGAGAAAGGATTGTGCTTGGTGTGTTGGAGGCATTGTGCCTGGACTGGAGTGGGAGGAGAGCAGGTGGGAGAGGCAAGCAGGGAGCAGATTCTGCAGAAGCTTGTGGTCTGTGGTCAAGAGTCAAGATTTTATTCTCAGAGCTGTGGGAAGCCAAAAAAAGGTTGTGAGCAGGGGTTGTATATGGTCTGATTTCTGACCCCAGCTGTGGGGTGTGCCTGCCTTCAAAACAAAATCAGAAACTGTCATCTCAGAACATGGCATCCATCCATCAACATATTTGGGGTCCACATGGTCCCTGGTTTAGCCCTTTGGAGGACATCCACCACCTTCTTTCTCCTGTAACCCTAAGCCCTTTGTTTAATAGAGAATAAATGCCAATGATATGCTCTTCAAAATTGAGAGCTTTAAAACCAAGGAACAGGTACAGCAATGAGAGAGGGCATTGGGTTTTCCAAGGGGAGTGTATGAACATCTGCTCTGTGCCTGGCCCTGTGCTGGGCACTGTAGACCCAGCAGTGACCAAGATCGATGTAATACCTGCCCTCCTGGACAGACAGATGACAATAGGACTGTGATGAGAAGAAAAGGAAACTGTGGGAGCCCAGAGGAGCTGCCTTACCCCACCTGCAGGCTCAGGGACATATATTAATCAAAGTCTTTTGGTAGCAAGTCACAGGAACATAGCTTAACAGAATAGACCTAGAAAGCAGAGTTTATTGGCTCATGTAACTGGGAAGGAAATGACCCACAAGGAACTTGGCTTTAGAGACTGGACCCCGGACTCAACTCCATCAAGACACTTTCCTACTCATTTCTCCGTTTGTCTCAGCTCATATTCATTCCTTTCAACTGCATGTGCTGGGAAAGCGGCCATTTATTTGCAGACACAAACCCAATCCTTCCAGTACCATAGCCCAGTGGGAAAATGGCAAAATCTCCAGTATAAGTGAAACAACAACATCCTAGGGAAGGGCTCAGATTGGCCTGATTGGGGTCACATCAGTCCAGTGATTGGCCGGGTAGGTGTTGGTTTAGCCCTCAGTATTCGGGTGTCCAGGTTGGGTGGCCTGGAAGAGGGGAGTTGCTAAAGAAATTGTTTTTTAGGTTGAATCATATGAAATTGCCAGTTTTGTAGGTCAGAAATGGCAGAATATTGGCAACTTCATATGGTCGATCCCAAGTTCTTACCAGATGGGAAAGCTTTTGGGCCTATAAAGTAATATAAATCCCAGTGGACCATTCCGAAGGGTATTTGGAAGAGGAAGTGATATTAACAGACATAGGGATGAATGGGTATCAGCCAGGTAAAGACATGGTGGTGGCGGGAGAGTTAGTAGGGCATATTTCAAGCAGAGGAAACAGCTTATACAAAGGCCTTCATTAGGGAAGATCAGAGAAGGCTTGTCGCTGTGATCTGTGGATGGGGTAATCTGACTGAGCAAACCTGAGTCTTGTGTCCAAGCAAATGAAGGATTGGGAAAGTGAGCTTTAGCAGGAGAAATGGATGCTGAGCAGGTAAAACCTAAATATATCCAGTTCAGAATTTCTTTTTAGGCCTTTGCTTCTCCAAGTGGATCTGTAACCTTATTTTTATTACAGCATTCATACCGAAGAGGGCCATATGCCTGAACCCAGACATGTCCCACAGGATTCAATTTTTTATTATCAAATATTAATTGACCACCTTCTTTGGGGTCTGTGCTGGGCATGCAGAGATGGATTTGTGAGGATTCACTTGGCTGAAAACAGAAAACTCAAGTACACAACTAAAGACATTTGGTTTTCTTACTAAATAAGAATTCTGGAGTTAGTGGGGTTGGGGTTGGGTGCAATGGCTTATTGATATCAACAAGGACCCATTTCCTACCCTTCTGTTTTATCTTCCTGAGAAGGATAGATTCATATTCTAGGCTTGTTGTCTCATGGTCACAAAATGGCCATCAGAGATCCAGGTCTTACATCCTCATACCAATGAACTAAGTAGGAAGGAAGGGAACAAATGGAAGTTCTTTTTTGTGTCAAGGAAGAAAAAAATTCTAAAATAATAAGAGTAACAGTAATAAACACATGTATCAAAAATTGTTTTAAATTCATTATATGAAGTAACTAATTTAAGAAGCCTTTGCCGTGGCTGGTTTCCTCAGTGGTTAGAGTGTTGGCCCACGGACCGGAGGGTCACAGGTTCAAGAGTGTTTACCTGGATTGCATGTTTGATTCCCGGCCCTGGTCAGGGCGTGTGGGGGAGGCAACCAAACATTGTGTTTCTCTCATGTCAATGTTCCTCCCTCTCTCTCTTTCTCTCTCCCCCTTTCTTCCCTCCCTTCCACTCTCTCTAAAAAAAAAAAAAAAAAAAAAAAAAAAAAAAAAAAAATGAAAAGAAAAAAAATCAATGGAAAAAATAATCTCAGGTGAGGATTTTTTAAAAAAGGAAAAAAACAGAGCCCTTTAGTCACATGACCATTCCAAACTGCAAGGGAGTCTGGGGAAGCAGGTGCTGAGGAAGGGGAAAGAAATTTATGCCCTGGATTGGACACCTTGCTGCCCCCATCCAAATTGGGGTTCTGCCACTTACAAACCATATAATGCAGTGGAGTGGCTGTGGGATTGTATGTAATTTCTAGTGCATGGCTGTCCTCCTGTCTTTATCTCCTAATTGAGAAAACATGAGAATGCAAAGGTCTGAGAGTTATAGAATTATGGGAATGATTCTGAAACCCCTATAATGTGAACAAAACTCAACCATTTAGAAATTTCAGTGGGTTACTCTTGGTAATACATTTCTTGTGACATGCCTCATAAGGGACTGTGGTGTATTGCCTCATTAAAAAAACACACAAACTTAGTGGCATAAAACAAAAATTATTTTATTATACTCCAAGATTCTGTGGTCAGGAACTTGATCATGGCAGAGTAGGAATGGCTTGTCTCTGCCCCAGCTGGGAGCTGGAAACTTCTGCACACTTGTTTACTCACGTATCTGGTTACTGAGCTGGGATGACTGCAAAGCTGAGTTCAGCTGTGATTGTCAACCACAGGACGTTCGTGTGGCCTGTCCATGTGGTTGGGTTCCTTGCAGCATGGCAGTTGGGTTCCAAGAGGAACAGTTTGAGATGTGTGTTCCGAGAGAGCTAGATGGGACAGATGAAGAAGTGACAAATACAGGTTCAATGAGAGGAGCACATTGACTCTACCTCTTGAAGGGAGAAATGTCAAAGAATTGGTGGTCACTTTCCAAAAACCACAACACATATTGTGTACAAGCTGGAGACGCCAGCAAGCTATTTAACAACTACATTGTTATTAGAATCGGAGTGCACACTAGCCACACATTGGAGCAGATCATGGAACACCTCTTCCACCCCCATATCAGATACTAACTCTTTGATTTCTGAATTTTCAGGGGGAAGGCTGGGATGGCATGGGTAGGGTGGATCTGCTTAGGGGGATCTTGGGGAAATAGCTATTTTCCAACTGGTATGAAAGTGTTTCAATATTTTAACAACTGAAACAGTGCTCCTATTGGGGGCCACTGGATATCAGTCCTGCAAGAGATTCACAACCTTGGAACCTCCATGTGCCATCTTAGACTGCTCCCTAGTTCTGCCTCCCACCTTTTCCCTTCTGGAAGAGCTCTAAGTTTGTTTAGGTATTCACTCTCCCTGGAACACATTTTCCCTAGCCTCAGAGGTGGGTTTTGATGAGTCTAACACCATCCTTGTAATTATATCTTCCTTGCCAGTGATTGGGTTAGACCTGGGCATATGACTAAATTTAGCCAATGAGGCAAGCATGTATATCCAACAGGGAGTTTCTCTGGAAGATTTTCTTTGCTTCTAAAAACTGTGAAAGCGCTAACCAGTTTGGCTCAGTGGATAGAGCATTGGCTTGTAGACTGAAGGGCCCGGGGTTCGATTCCTTGGGTTGCAGGCTCCACCCTGGCCCAATGTGTTATATTTCTCTCTTTCCCTCTCTCTTCTACTTTCTCTATAAATCAATAAAAAAATATCCTTGGGTGAGGATTAAAAAAAAAATAAACATTTACAGCACATAAGAGATGGTATTTGAGGAACAAGATAACAATGAGGAGTGCAGTGGGTGTGCCTGAGAGGTCTTAGAAAGGAGATTACTTTCCAAGGTATGACCTTTCAAAGGTATGATATCTTAGATGCAAAAAGACAATAAACAGGCTCATTTAAAGTAAAGATTGACCGTTGTCAAGGACTCTATAAGCCTAGGATGTGACTACCTGCTGTGACCTGCTTTTAGTTAGGAGTTTTTATGTTCAGACCATCGTAAGTGGTTACTTTTGGTCTCCAAGTTTGTTAGGTCTGTCATGTAGGTCTCCTCTGAACTTGTCAGGTGTAGTATGTGACCCCTTTTTTATCCACACTTCTGAAAACTAAAGACAAAGAAAGAATCTTGAAGGAAACCAGACATAAATGACATTACATTTTATAGGGGGACAATAATTTGACAGGAGAAAGTGGCACATTTTTCAAGTGCTGAAGGAAAAGAACAGTCAACCCAGACGTCCTTATCCAGTGAAAATATTCTTCAGGAAAGAAGGTGAAATAGACATTTTAGGCCGGCCAGTGTTGCTCAGTGGTTGAGCTTTGACCCATACACCAGGAGGTCACCTGTTCAATTCCAGGTGAGAGCACATGCCGGGTTGTGGGCTCAATCCCCAGTAGGGAGTGCGCAGGAGGCAGCTGATGGATGTTTCTCTCTCTCTGAAATCAATGTTTCTATCTCTCCCTCTCCCTTCTTTTCTCTGAAGTCAATAAAATGTTAAAAAGAAAGAAAGAAAGAAATATACATTTTAAAATAAAGAAAACT